TATTTTAATTGATTCGTACTATGTTAGGATATTCCTAAACCCTAATAATAATTACGAGGCTGCAGATTATAACTTTTAATTTATATATACTTCATTAATTATGAATTGTGATTGAAACCAAAATAAGTATTCTGTGAGCTCAAATAATGATAGATATATGGTTAGTGGTTAAGTATATACCATATATATATATATATATATATATATATCTAATCTAAAAACATTATAAATATGAATAGAGGTTAGTACCCCTAAATTGTGTCATCCTCTTATATTCATTAATACTTGTATTGTTTTATAAAATTAATGTGCTTAATTTTTTGTGGTCAAAAATATCCTTCTACTACCGTTAGCTAAAAGAAACGCCGTTTGACTTCTCCACCCATTTTGTAAAGTATTTAAATGAAAGTTTATGATTTATGACTTGTCCCCCCTTTATGATTTATAATTTTTAACTTTATGTTATTTAAATAATAAAGTACTCCACTTAATTTATGAAATATCATATACGAATATCTAACTTATTAATTTAGTCAACTTTAATATAGTGAAACTTGCATGTTGTGTTTACCTTTTTTAATCGGTTTATAATAATATTTGTAAAGAAACTCAATTGACTCTATAGAATTTCTAAATAACTTCAATTGACTCAACTAAATTTGAAAGAGTGAGAATTTTCAAATGTTAGTTTTTATTTATAATTGATATTTAAATTTTAACATGCTTAATTACCTTCTTTAACCTTCAATAGGACAAACTTTTTAATGCATAAATTTGAATTGAAATAATTATTTAATTAAAAATTATGTTTGGATACCAATGTTGTCACGGATTTGACACTGATCCCTGCCAAAAATCTTTATTAAATATGTTTAGGCACAAATAGTCCCTACTAAATCCATGACAAAGGTTCGTTCCGATCCAAATCTCTGCTTGGTCTATTGATTTTTGCGAGTTTTTTATGAATTTGACTTTATCATACTAGATCAGATCAGAAAATATCAGTCTAATTAAAAACATCCTAAATTGAAACTCGTTTAAAAAATGATTACTTTTACATATGGACAAAGTTGACTAACAAGATAAAAATTTGGAAAAAGATGATATGAGTGATATCACTATATGTTTTTGTGTCACTAACAATTATATCAGATTGTATTGGTCGTGGTTATAGATGTCACTGCCGCCATTAAACATGTCATTATGACCGCCATAAAACTTTCTTGTCACTTCTACTGGTGAGTTTAAAAAGAAAAAAGAAAAAAAATCAAACAAATAGCATCAAAATTTTCGGACTACGGAAAATTCATGTATATATATATATATAGTGAGAACCCCTTTTAAGATGATACCTTTTCTTCTGTTGGACTGGCTTGGCGTCAGGCCGAACGGCCAACTTGTGACATATGAGGGCCGGATCGATCCCCAGCATGTCTTCAGGTCCCCGGGCAAATAGGACCTGGAATTTCTTTAGGACAGTTATCACCCCTTCTCTGATTTCCCTTTCAAACTCTGTGCGCCGGGTCTGCACCTCAATGCTGTTTACCCGCTGTCCCCGGGCAGTCATCTGTTTTAAAGCCTCCCTGTAGTACGTCCGGGCTATGGCAGGATCTGTTCGGGCCACTCCCACACCAGTGTCAGTTGGGAACTTGATGCATGAGTGTCGAACAGAAGCAATTGCCTCCAAATCTTCCAGCCCTGGGCGGCCCAATATGGCGTTGTGGGCACATGTAATATCCACCACCACAAACGTCATCCGGACTGCTGCCCGGTGTGTTTCATCGCCTATTTCAACCAGAAGCTGGATGGTGCCTTCGGCCTCGATTACATTACCGGTGAAGCTAGCCAGTGGTGTCTTCATCTTGGTCAGCTGATCTTTCTTCAGCTTCATCTTCTCCAACGTGTGTAAATACAGCACGTTCACACTGCTTCCTGTGTCCACCAGAACTCGGCAGATCAAGGCATCGTCTATACACATACTCACCACTAGCTCGTCCCTGTGCGGACTTGGTGAGTTGGGCAGGTCAGCCACCCCGAACGTAATTGGCTCCAAGCGGCCTTTCTTTGAGGGTGGAGCAGCTATAGTGGCAACATAGAGGCTGCGCTCAAATTTCTTACGTTCAGCGGCTGTATCCCCGATCTCTCCTCCACCAAAGATGACTTTGACTTCCATCCTTGGTTTCTTCCCCAGATTCCCCGATCCCTCAGCCTCCTCTATAGGGGGACGGTATGAATCATTGCTTGGCTCTATGTCCCGCTGGATATCCCTCTTCCAGCTATTAGATCGGGGAGGGCGTTGATTGGGGGGAGGGCCGTTCGGGTCGGTGCTGACATATTTCCTTAGGTAGCCTTTCTGGATCAGGTTCTCGATTGCCAGATGTAGGGCGTGGCAATCCTTCGTGAGGTGTCCATTCCGCTTGTGGTATCTACAGAAGGCATTCGGGGTAGGCCCCATTACGGCCCTTGTGTCAGTAGGGGGAGGAATGGCATTCTTTTCCAAATGGAAAACGCCAGTTATAGACATGACCAGGGGGGTGAAATGTCCAGTCTTGCGACGAGGCGCTGCAGCCGCTGGTGCGGGTCCCAAACGTTCCGCCAGCCTTGTAGTGGGGGGCTGCGGGGCCGTTCGGTCCCTCATCCTGATTTCCTCTTCTAGGGCCGCATGTCTCCTGGCCCTCTCTAACACCTCCGGGTAGTGGGTGCCCGGGTTCTTCTTAAGCTCCCCGGTTTGGAGAGCATCGGTGAACAAGAGGATGATGGTCTCGTCCGTCATGCTAGTGACCTTGAGGTTCTCGCTCCTCCATCTGATCAGGAAGTCACTGACGGACTCCCTTGGTGCTTGCCTCACCGTGGTCATGTGACTAAGATGCACCTTATGCTTGGTGCCAGAAGCGAACTGCGCCAGGAAAAGAGTGGACAGTTCGGCGAAGCTTCCAATTGATCCGGGCTGCAACGTCCCGAACCATTCTTGTGCGGCTCCCTGGAGGGTGCTGAAGAACAATCTGTAGATGGCTGCATCAGTGGCCCCAAGGAGCATGAGGCCTCCTTGGTAGCTTCTCAAGTGTACTTCGGGGTCACCTACCCCATCATATGTAAGCCCGGCCGGGGGACGGCAGTCCCAGAGAATTTCTGCGCTCATTATCTCCCATGTGAAGGGAGAAGTGATACCAACCCGAGCTGGCGGTGTTTGCTGGGGCGTCCGGTTCACCCGCTCCCTGAGCTCAGTCATTTGTCTCCTCATTTCGGCCATTTCTTCGTCTTGGGCCGTTCGGGGAGTTTGTGGTATCCTTGCTTCCACATACTCCGGCATCCTGTTCGGGGGAGGGGCAGCTGTGTTAGCCCTCCTCCGAATAAAATGTTCCCCATCCCTCTGGACATACTGGAAATGTTGCCCAACGGGGTCTATCATGGGGGTAGGTTCCCTGTATTCGTTCCGAGGTGCGGACGGGGTTCGGGAGGTTGGTGCTTGCTGGTCATGCCTGGAAGGGTGGGCCCTCCTGTAATTCCCTCGATGCTCCTGGGAATGTGCTGAGGCCGTGGTGGTCTTAGTGTCTTCCTTTTCGTCAAAGGATGACATAGGATGAATAGCGGACAGAGGCTCATGAGTCTCATCGGTGTATCCCTGTTCCTGTTCATCCGCCATGCGCTGCATAGCCTCTGCCATCTCCCTCATCAACTGAGGGTTCCTCCTTACATCCCGAGGGATGATGCCTTCAAACTCCCGGGTGGCACTGCCACTGGCGTGTCCTTGCATGGACCACCCCTCAGAAGATCCATTGCCCCTTCGGCCCCTGGACGTAGAACTCGGTGTTGCTGTGGTGATTCTAGCCATTTGCTTTAGAAAAATGGTGCCTAGATCAACGGTTTTGCTTAGGATTTTTGTTCAGTTTCCCACAGACGGCGCCAATGTTGAGGTTTATTCCCGAAGATCCGAAAGCCCAACACAAGCTTTGGATATTGGGTTGGTTTGGAAAGTGTCTAAAATATAAAACAGTGAGATATTATTCAACTAAGGAGCTTACTTGTATTCAGTAATTTTGCGATTACACTGCAACTACCCGAACGGTAGGTAATTATAAGAATACAAGAATAAGGGATGTAAATCTATTGCTAAGCTCTGAGTATTGAAATGCTAACCCTTTACAATGATCTAAACATGGGTATTTATACTAAAATGGGGATGGATAAGGTGGACACGTGGCCGAATCTGGTAGGCTGCCTCCTCTGCCATGTAAGCACCCATGCCCCTACTTGCAGCCACCATGATCCAGCATTAAATGCGGCTTCCACTTGCTGACTGCCCGTTCGGGTATGGTGTTCGGGGTGTGGGACCCTGCCATAGATCTTATCTTGTTTATGATCTTCCATTTGAGAAGTATCCCGAATGCTGTTCGGGATCCAGCCATTGGTGCTTTGGCACAATTGTTTCCTGAAATGTTCCAAGTAGAGGCTTTGCCCCAAATGCTGATCGGAAATTCTTGGGCTGCCTTGGGCCTGCTGCTTCTTCCCGGGTTTGGGCCAAGGGATATTGGGCCTGGACCCAATATCCCAACAGTTATTAAATAATAAGAATCTCTTTCATAAAAGATTCTTTAATATTATTTGATTTCTTATTTTATGTATTTTTTATAATTTTAAATTTATCGAATTTTTAACTACTTTAAACTTTTTTATAAAACTATTTATTTTTTATATTTTATAAAATAAATTATATTATCTATTTAAAAAAGCTACATTGAAAATTATTTCTCAAGTTTTATTATTATATGATTTCTACGTGTTTTTTTTCAAACTTTTTTATAAAATTTTAATTCATTTTCTTTAATTTGTAAATTTAATTTATAATTTTCTAATTTCACATCGGAATTTTATTTTTTATTTCGAGTTTTAAAAGTTTTTTGAAAATCAATTTCCTTTTTTAAATTTTATTGTTTCCTATGCATTATCCGCTATAAGAGTTAATGAATTTTTACATTTTAAATTTAAGAATAAAAACTTGAGTGCCTACATATTATTTGTAATTTCATACGAAGAGTAATGCTTTGTGAAAAGTGGAGCACTGATTGAAACGTTACGTGGATGGGTGCACGTGTAACTGTGCAAGGAGAATAAATTTGAGCCTGTGAGCTAGATACGCGGACTGGTCTATTTTTGAAAAGAGGTAATCTATTATTGAAAGAAATTTTTAAGGGTGACACAAGTGATGTTACTATCAATTTTTAGTTTGTGAAAATTTCCCAAGAAACTAATGATCTTTTGGGCCCAACAGTCGGTTGATTCTTTAATGATACATAAATAAATTGGTAATCCTAAGAGACTAAGGATTTGTGCTATCGTAATCCAGGGCCGGCTACAATAAATATAGGCACTGCAGCTCGTTAATTCGACAGATCAAACTGATAACATATATTGATACTCCGATTAGGTTCGCGCGCGGCAGCGATGGGGGACTCGTTGACTGATTTTCAGTGGAGCGTGGAGATAGATACAAAAGATGGTCCTGATCTTCAAAGGTCTCTGGTGAGGATATATCTTGAAGAAAGGGATGCTTCGTTTGTTAGAACATGGTGGGGGGATTGGGGGGATTGGGGGGATGTTCTGTATAGGATTGAGGAGTTCCTTGACGTGAGCCGTGAATGTGTGGAGACTATCGACTTGGAGAAGATCCTATCTGAAGAGGAAGACGAAGAAGAACTTATGACTTTATTTACAGATAAGGTACTCTCCCCCTTCCATCACATTGTCTACGGAGAAAGGCTCAAGGTCATCGCAAGTGAGATAATAAGGGGATGTCGCGATCGGCTTATTCTTCTCACCAATGACAACTCTAACTCAAAGGTGTACTCGATTAGTGTGGGTTTATCTTTACAGCTTTTTGTAACTTTGGGACTAGAGGCCTGGACCTGGTTTCAAGATTGCCTTGTGCAGCTGCCGCCTGGTGTGCGTGATTACGATCCCTCATCTCCAATGCCTCTCCCGAGGATGGTGCCGAATGGCTACGGTTTCTTCCGACTTGGCGGTGGTACAAAACTAGAAGAAGAAACATGTGTGATTTGCTTTGGCAAGTACGAACCACAATGCCTTGTGATTCGCCTCCAATGTCTGAATGAGCTTCTCCCCGATCCCGACGAGGAGCATAGTCACAAGGCCGAGACTCCAGCAGCAATGTTGCTGCCATGTGGCCACATATTCCATGCCAAGTGCATTGCAAGTTGGTTTTGTGTTTCAAAAGACAAACCCTGCCAACTATCCGGTATTAATACTTGCCCTCTATGTAGGTTTCAGGTTCCTACCCGTCATTTCGTGCTTTCTCTTCAACATTTCTTTCCTCTGCTCTATTTTTAAAGCTAGTGATGGTCAATTGGTCATGGGCTAACTCTTAGGTACTCAACAATGGATGTTGAATTGAAAGAAGCAGGTCGGGCCACCATGCCCATCCTGTTTGTATGTATGTATTCCAGCCCAACATTTTTAGTGTGCTGAGTTAGAATTTTGTTGCAAGTCGTTTTTCATACAATAGTATTTACTGATTTACATGTAATTTAGTTACAAGTTAGTTATTATTTCGATCACAGTGGGCAGATTTTTCCATGTACAACAACCAGCCACTTTTCTTCTCTTTCCCGGCCTTTTCATAATTGCACCAACTTCATGATGCTCAATTTTGCCTGGGTGAGCTTCTTATGAACAAGGCATGACTATGGTGTTGCCATGATATAGAATTTGTTGATATATTTTGTAGGTGTATTTTACAATTTTTAAGTAGTTGAAATCTTTTTTGTGCACGTACTAACTGTCATCGCGATCTACAAAACGTCACTGTTAATTTTGATAATGCCTAAGAACCTGATGCTTGACATTGTTATTAGTTTCTATATGAAATACATAAAAAACTGTGACCCAATTTTTTTAAGAAAAAATTCCACTTTTGATCCCATGACTATTATGCCACTTCCACATTACTCCCTTGACTTTCAATTTAACCAAATCTAGTCCGTGACCTTTTCCCCTTCACCACCCGTCGTCCTTCCGACCACAACTCCGGCAATTTTTAACCAGAAACTCATTTATGTAGAAATATTTGGGGCATTTTAGTAATTGCAAGTTGTTAAAACGGCTACCTACAAAATTAACTTCAATTAATGTTGAGCTAATACGCCAGCTTCCTTCATTCTCAAAACCGAAGTCTTCTCCAATTTCCCAAACTTCCGTCAGCTTGGAAAATCCCCAACTATCGTTCGAACAATGAGGATCCTTCCGGACCGTCGGAGTGAAGGATAAGGAACAAGTGCGACGTTCGCCAACAAATGCTGGTGATAAAGGTAAGAGGCTGAACTTTTTTAAAAAAGAGTGGAAGAAAGTAATGAATACAAGGCTGAAAAAGAGGTGTATATAATTGGTGTTTGACCATGTTAGAGGTTTTATGTTGAGGCTGAAAAAGAGGGTTTTTAAAAAAAAAAAAAGAGTGAAAGAACGTAACATGTGCAAACACCAATTATATACACCTCATTTCAGCCTTGTATTCATTACTTTCTTCCACTCTTTTTTTAAAAACTTCAACCTCTTACCTTTATCACCAGCATTTGTCGGCGAACGTCGTTCAACACTTGTTCCTTCTCCTTCACTCCGACGGTCCGGACGGGTCCTCATTGTTCGAACGATGGTTGGGGATTTTCGGGCTGACGGAAGTTTGGGAAATTGGAGAAGACTTCGGTTTTGAGAATGAAGGAAGCCGACGTATTAACTCAACATTAATTGAAGTTAATTTTGTAGGTAGCCGTTTTAACAACATACAATTACTAAAATGTCCCCAATATTTCTACATAAATGAGTTTCCGGTTAAAATTTGCCGGAGTTGTGGTCGGAAGGACGACGGGTGGTGAAGGGGAAAAGGTCACAGACTAGATTTGGTTAAATTGAAAGTCAAGGGAGTAATGTGGAAGTGGCATAATAGTCATGGGACCAAAAGTGGAATTTTTTCGATAAGAAAACATATAAATGCTATTAAATGACGCAACTAACCTTCATTAATTGGTTTCCGGTTAAAATTTGCCGGAGTTGTGGTCGGAAGGACGACGGGTGGTGAAGGGGAAAAGGTCACGGACTAGATTTTGTTAAATTGAAAGTCAAGTGAGTAATGTGGAAGTGACATCATAGTCATGGGACCAAAAGTGGAATTTTTTCATTTTTTTTAATGCAAATGAATAATGTAGACAGTTCTCTAAATGCTCCCCTTTGGCACCTGCATATTGTCTTTTGTACTTTTCTAGATTGAGGCATTCCTAAACAACAAGATCTACCAATAATTCAAGAACTGTTTTTGCATCAGGATAGGTTTTCTCCATCTTTTCAGTAATGTCATTTTTTCGGTAGGAACAGATCACTTCTTGCTCCGCTTTGACATTTATTTTACTTTGATGCTTCTTTTTTGCTTGATACTATACGTAGAAATGCATAACTAATTTCTGTAGAATAAACGATGGCACACTCGTGCTCTTGGGCTAAGTTAGCTTTTTTACGTTTAAAACGCGTTTTAAACACGTACTGTTTTTTTTAACAAAAAAAAACGCGTTTAAAACAAAAAATAATGTCGGTCCGTTTTAAAAGGAAAAAATCTTCCACTTCCCGTATAAAACGTATTTTTCCCATATTTTACAAAAAATAGAAACATCATTTGATCACTTGTATGAATACATCAAATGATTAGGAGATCAACAATAGTTTAAAAGCAAAAAAGAAAACTTCATCCCAGTGACCCCGTGTTTTTGTATTGTTACAATACAAATATACAATTGTTAAATACTAAAATTTATTGCAGGATGACTAAAGCTAGCATTCTAAAATACTAAAACCTAAATACTACTACATATTAGTATTAGATTTATGATGTTCTTTTCCAAACAAGCATATCAAAATTAAGGTTTTTCTAAACTCGGCATTTTTAGTATAAACGTTTACACATAAACAATAATAAGTGTAGCGGTCGCACAACTTTCTCAAATGTCATCCGTCATCTAAGTGAAAATGATGAGTTTAACTTGAGTGTTATTTGATCATCATAAAACGACCGAAACCCTGCCTATAAAAAAAACTTCAAAAATTCAAACATTCAAATCAAATCTACTCGCACTAAAACAAAACAAAAAAAATTGCAACTAAAAAGGAAATAATACTGGAATAAAATCTTTTCCAAAACTCTTGCAATATGGGTGAATACTGATGAGAATCTACTACAAGCAAAGATGGATTTAAGGGGCGCGGGGGGTGCGACCGCCCCCTTGGACATTCAAAATTTTCTACTATATATATAATATTTTCATAAAATTTTCATACTTTAATTCGATTCGCCCCCTTTAACTTTTCCTATCAAAATTAATATATAGTCTGACCTAGGGCTGCGCACGGGCCGGGTCGGGGCAAAATAAAATGGAACCGCCGGTTCCATTGTACGGTTCAGTCCGGTCCGGGTATTACAATTTTCAAAATAGGAACCGGAAATTACTCGGCCCGTTTGAAACGGGTCGGTCCAGTCCGGGTTTTATGGTTTCTATTCTCATGTCTTGAAATTAGTAAAAACTCACGAAGTTCCAAAAATCAATAATCAATAATCTAGGACATTAGCAAGTTTCAAAATAACAATATAGTGGTGCACATACAACACAAGCGAAAAGTCCAATACTCCATAATTTATTGTGTATAAGTGTCAAACAATTAAAGATATTTCAAAAATATGCAACATAGCCAAAATACATATTTTCTAACATTTGTATTTCAACATGTTGTCTAACATCACATATTAAAGTGATTGTTTTTTTTATATTAAATTTTCAGTACTAGCCAAAGTTGACACATACATGGTGGGTGGTAAACACAATTTATATATTTTAATAACAATATAATAAAAAATATATAACAAAATCATCTTTAACAAATAAATAAATTCCATAGAAAGGAATAATTCAATAACAATAAAAAGTAATAAGATATTTATGAAACATTTTATCAATAATTTGAAAACAAAAGGATGTTACTGCAACTCAATTTAAAATCCTACTTCTAGCAAAGGAAACAAAACTATTTCAAAACTGATTATCACAAAACTACTAATAAATTAATATACAATAGATATAACGGGCCGGGTACCCGTTATTTTTTAATTTTGGAACCGGTCCGGTTCCTTAAAAAAATTACCCGACCCTACCCGGACCATTTTATGGCAACAAAAAATGGAACCGGCCCGTTTTGGACCTGAACCGCCATTACCCGGACCGGACCGCGGTTCCAAGACCCGTTTGCCCACCCCTAGTCTGACCTAATGTAATACTTAATTGGAAATTTAGAAGAAGGAACATATAATATAATTTACATAAATTAAACAATAGAACGACTCATTGAATAAGACTTATAATACTTATTATATAAAAAATTCCTATTATTGTATTGTTTAATTATCTTTATTAGATAACTAGTACTCGATTTTGTGAAATATATATCAAGCAATAATAAATACCAAACAACTAGTTAGTTACACAATTTCTAAATAATGTGAAGTGGATCTAAAATATAAATGTTTATTAACATTAAATCACACAATTCATTTACTTCTTACTTTCAAAAAATAATTTATTGCATAGATAATAAATGTGAAATTATTTTTGAATTAGTAAAAATAATATATATATATATATATATATAAATGAATTAGTAATATAGTATTATTCTAAAAATAATAATCTCATACATAATATTGTAATATTAAGAAAACTATTCTTGACTCAAAAACACTCTCCTTGGTAGACAAACATTGCAATTCAAAAATCAATTTTTTATTCCGATAAGATTCATGTGGTTAAACAATGTAGAAGTTACTTTAAAAGTATTGATGGATGTGTACCTATTAAACTCTTTATCTTCAAATATATATCTTTTTTTTCAAATGATATTCCTTTGCTTGTTTCTTATGCTTTAATGTATCAATACTTGTTTCTAAAGCACTTTAATTATAAAAATCGAATTTGTTTTGCCATTGTCTAAACTTAGAATGTACTCCCTCCGTCCCCAAAAGAAGTTCACCATTGCGTTTCACACATATTAAGGAGAGAAATTTATTGGGGGGTAAATTTTACTGTTTAGACACTGTTTGGCACTGTTTTGATATAGGTAATTTGCCAAAGAAGGAAAGGGAAACTTAATTCAGGGACTACCCAAGAATCGAACTTGTCGTGCATGTATTAATGATTCTTTTTTTAATAAAAATAGCGGCAGAGCCCTACAGTAGCGAAAAAAAATCTCCGTGCTGCACTACTGTGTGCGATAAAAATTCGCTCCGCGACTCTCAGGAAAAAAAATTCACCCCCTACACTAATGAAAATTTTCGCCCGACTAGAAATTTTGGATCCGTTCAATCGTCAAATAATTCCCGGAATGCTTATATACGGGATAAACTAATAGCCCAAGACTGTGTGTAGATCTTAATCTGCAAAATTATTTTTTCTGGCCCTGGAATGACACCACTCGAACCCCATATCTATTTGCATAAGTCTTCCATATATGCCAACAAATAATTCCCGGAATGCTTTGCTTAAAAATGCCAAACATACTTTTATCTCCTTGCCGAGGTGTCCATAGCCTAAAAATGGTGAAATCAGTATCCTGGGGCATTAGTATGCCCAATACTCCCAAGAAATGTTTCCAATTAAATTCTTCTCACAGCTGAACATTTGAAGAATAAATGGATCATTGTGTCATTGTGTCTTCTACAGAGAGGACAAATAGAGGGA